TCAATATCGTCGACTAATAGCGAATATCTGCCGGATTAGCCTACGCCCCCGTACCGTTTTGCTACATCATGGCAATCCTCCAAAATTCAGATGATTTTAAGCCTTTCAATCACGAGAATCTACACCAGAGGTTTATGTAGAAGAAAAACAGATGCTGTAGTTTGGGGAACTACAGCATCTGTCAGTGAGGCAGGAGGGGCCCAATCAGAGGACAGAAACAGCGTCATTCTTTAAAGCTGCAGAGTCTTCCACACATGGTATTAATTTCAACTGGATGGGCAACATACATGCATCTTTACTTTTCTTTCAGCCTGTACTTTATAACATATATATCTCAAACCTTTAGATTTGAACAAACATTTAATAAGATGTTCTTACTGTGACAGAAAGACTGGTTACCTTGTGCTCCAGCAGCCTCTGTTTCTCCACAGCCTCATCCAGGGTCAGACCCACCCACTCCGCCTCTTCCTCTGGGATCTCAAACTGCTGCTCAGACGAAAAGAAGGAGAAAACATAAAACAGTCATTTTCTTTTATTTCTCTCCAGGAGATTAAAGCGAAATGAATTCTCAATAGTTGCGTCAATTCGCGGCGAGGCACCTTGTACTTGTTGTAAACGGTCTCCCTCTTGACCGGGTCGTCGGGGTAAAGCTCTGTGTCTCTGCGAGCCAGGCGGAGCAGCATCGCCCTCTTCAGGTTCATCCCCAGCCTGGAGTTCAGGTCCTCCTTCGGTGTCTGAAAAGCGGTGACGATTAAAAGTCAGGAAGACGTATTAATATGGAAAACTAAATTCATGGCACAGCCCGCCCCCGTGCTACGCTTACTTTCAGGATGTAAAAGTCAAAGCCGAAGGCAGCGTCGATGAGGTCCAGAGTGCGAGGCGTCACGTCGATGGTGAACTTGTGATCCAGGATCTCGCTGTACAGTTCCCTCCTGAGCACCTGTGGTTTCCAGACCTTCTTCAGGCGGTTGGACATCTGAGCGACAGATGGGTTACAGTGAACTTTGGAAAAGACAGTGCAACTCCAGAGTCCTGCTCTAGACTTACTTTGTCATTGTTGGCATATCTGAAGCCTCTTATCCAGCCCTCTCCACCCCACAGGCCATCTTGGGACTCCGGAGGGTAGTAGATAGGGATGGGGACATCCTGCACCCGCTCCTTCACCCCGGTCTTGGGGCTTATTCTGTACTGGACTCCCAGGGGCCTCCAGTGGACTGGTGTGGGCTCTTTCGGTTCCAGGGACTTGAGATAGTGTTTGGGGAGACGGGCGTAGATGCCCTGCTTCAGTTTCATAGCCTCCCACAATTTGGGGGGGTATTTATGAAGAGGCATGATGCACTTTGACAAATAAATCTGAAACAGAGGAGGAATAAAATGCAACATCTATATTTAGTGGCAAAACTGCATGGCAAATCAAATATCTTAGTACACTTGAAATGGAATATTTTCCCCAAACTAATCCATATGAAAAAATACTATAGCTTTAGTTTACAGCTCTGAAAATAGGAAGCAGCATTCAATAGGACTTGAGTGTCACTATGAGAGAACATATTTGAACGAAGATCATAATAGTCACAGTCAGACACTTCATAATAATGCTAGTTAGCAGGAAGCTAATACAGATTAAGATGGCTACACAAACAATACGCAACAAAAATAAAACTTTACGAAATCTCGAACTGGAATAATATCAAGGTTCTTACCGGGAACTTAGAAAACAGACAGCTCCGCTAAAGATAGGTCCGTTTTCTATTGGCTTTACTCCCAAATTCAAGCCAGCAAGGACATCGCTTTGCAACCACTACACTGGTTGACTTAGTCTCTCGTTCTTCTTCTCCGGAGATGTGAGCAGAGTGCAATTGCAGTGCTGCCACCTCCTGTCAAATCAATATCACTGCCGCTCTGGTTCTCTTCCGAAAATAAAATAAAATAAAATAAAATAAAATAAAATAAAATAAAATAAAATAAAATAAAATAAAATAAAATAAAATAAAATAAAATAAAATAAAATAAAATAAAATGAAATGAAATGAAATGAAATTAAATTAAATTAAATAAAGTGCTGAGGTTTCGGCAATTTAGTGCATATGCTGAGGTATCCAAGATAAAATACTGCCTCAAAAAGTCTTAATTGTTAACAAATTTGGACTTTTTTATGTTTGGACACAGTCAATTTTTTTTAAAAAATAAAACCAAAATTTCCCTCTCTAGAGGGAAAACCTTTTTATAATTAAGAATCCCACACAATGAGGATTATTTACCAGCTACCATGTCTGGGATCTCTGGAGTTGGACTAGTGTCAGCTGAAAATAAAATAGCTTTTTGGGTTATTTTTGACTTAAAATGGTGTTTCTAGTACAAAACCCATTTTTGTACATTTCCTCATATGTACAAATTGTGAAAACTATAGCACAAAAAATATATATTTCTTCACCTTTAATCTGAAGACAGTAATTCTAAGATAAATTTAAAGATGAACATCTGAAGAGGTTTAAACTAGGGAACAAAAACAAGTTAATCCAAAATGTAATGTGTGAAATATCTTGGCAATATGAAACAAATTAAAAAAAAATCACTAAAAGTCATATATTTCACAACGAACACACCATACAGCACTTCTAAAGTACAGAAAGTCTCTTATTTTAGTTTTGGCTTTTATTTTGAAACACCTCGTAGCGGAAATGATAGTTTTTCGAAAGTAACCTCGTTTTCTCCTGGTTTTCCACATGTTCTGCTGGTAAATGGCCGCCCGAAAGGTGGAATTGAACCACTCTGCCGCTAAGCAGCTACGGGTTTGAAGCCCGCACCCCGGACCACCGAGGCTCATCCGGGCACTTTCAACCTGTCCGAACAGCGCTTTTATCACTACTCAGATTACATATCACTTTCACTTACGGTGCTACCTTGATATTTATTCTTTTTTCATGTAAACCTTTTACAAAACAATGATATCCACCACAACTTATCTGAGATCAAAATTCTCACTTAATAAACCCGAAAACAGGAATATTTTCAGCTCTGTTGTGTGTTATGTAAAGCAGGCGCAATTTGATTGGCTGGTTCACACTGTGAGGGTGAACTCTATCTTCACAGGTGAAAGGTTGCAGATTTTCAGTGAATCCAAGTGAAACAGCAGTCGTGGTTCTGTTTCGTCAACGATTACTCTGTGAAATCTTTAGCAAGGATCAACATGGAAACCCATGTTTGGTAAAGTTATTTATGGTTTTCATAAAGAAACAATAAAATTCAGACCATAAAAACCAACTGAGATTATAATTACTCTTATAAAGTAAAACTATCCATGAACTCGAGTGCAACAACCTAAATATTATATGTTATAGTATTGTACAATATGATATTATTGGAATGACAGCACTATTTTACAATACCTACTGTAAGTTATGAAAAATAGTTTGGATATATTTGTTTCTTCTGCTAGCATTTTCTATTTTCGTTTACTAATTTTGTACGTTATTCTTTAAAATACAAGGATTTCCACATAGCCTTATATCTTTGCCTATTTGATGACTTTAGTATGAACATGTTAAATCAGAAGAAGGTTCCGCAGCATCTTGTGCAGAACAACCAGACTACTGAACAGTTTCTTCCCCCGGGCCATCAGACTGCTTAACGCCACATAACACCCCTCCACACACTCACAAACCAAATGACCCCCCCATGGACATGGTCAATACATGCACTTTAGTTTAGTTTTTTTCACAACACTGAACCTGTGTATTTTATGGCACTTGTATTATATTGTATTTATTTATTGGGTAGTGTAAGGTTTTAGCTCTGCTACACTGGTAGCCAAGTAACGACATTTCGTTGTCAAGATTCACCTTGTGTTTTTTTTGTACAATGACAATAAAGGAAGTCTAAGTCTAAGTCTAAGTCTAAGCTGTTATGCTCAAACATTGTGAAGGATCACAGTCTGGTCTGCAGTCACGCACAGCAGCCCCACACTTCGTCATCCATGGTTTTGGATTTTTTTCTCTCCCTTCTACTAGTTTCAGAAAATTAATCTTGATTTTAAAAGATTTAAAGAAAATAACCTGTAATTGGATTTTAAATTGAAGTAAATAATTAAAGACTTAGCCATACCATCAAATCAATCAATTTGGGGAATGTTCAGCCTGTGGTCAATTTCCCCACTCTCACCAAACTCTTTCCTGCGGGGTCAGAGGTGACCTAAGGGTCATTGGTTTGCGTCCCACATTCCTGATGAGAACGCAGCATGCTGGTGAAAGCTTCAGCATACAGATGCTGTGGGAGATGGAGACCATCTGGCTGGAGAAAGTGTGGAAGTATCTGGTGCTGAGGAAGCCTGAGTGCAACAAAGCAGAAGGAATGAAATCTGTGTCCTTGGGAGGACAAGAAAACTGCATCATTTTCTATAAAATGAGTCCATGTTCATTTTAATATTTTCAATCTATGGGTGTTTCTCTTGTTTGTTCCATCTATTTATTATGCTCCATGTTTAGAAAGCAAAGGCTTGATTGGACATCACCCTAAGCCTACGCCTAACACTAAGCCTGAAAATAACTTAAAGGAAATTTTACTTTGTAACTTAACACCTTGAAATTGGCTCTCCATCTCTTTAAAAACTTCTGCTCTTTTTGAAACTTCGTCTTCAGGAAGTCGTCGCAGCACCTCTGCTCTATTAACCCTTTAACAATGTTTTTACCAGCATTGCACCGGGAAGCAGCCCAACTGATGCACAGTTCCACCAGGTGTTTGCTAATTGCTGCTGGCTAGTCCGAAGGAACTCAGTGGGGGATCCCCAGGAGAGGGTTGTTTTGTGAAGCTGCAGCTCTGAGGAGGGGCTTTGTCTCAAAGGCGGGGCTAAGTCCACCCAAGTATTTAGCACAGCTGAATGGATTTCTCAAACATGCATGAAACAATCAAAGTAACACTCCAAGTATGTTTTTCATGAGGGAACAACATTATAACATAATGTAACACTCAAAAATTTGATTTTACATAATGCTGTAATTTATTTAACATCGCCCACATAAAATCAAAAAAGTAAAACTTTTCCATAATCAAATAAAGAGACAAAAATGGATAGAAAATCTTTGGAATAATACCTGTTTATATAATAAAACTAACAGAGAAAAACATGTTGTCCTATTTTCTGCGTTCACCTTCTTATCAGGTAAAAACAGAGAGTCAGAGGAAAGTGTTCTCGATGACCAGAGTCTGAGGCTCCTCCTCGCTCTCTCCAGTTCCTGGACTCTGGACGCTCCGGATCTGCTCCTCCGTCTCTTCCAGTAGGGAGCAGCACATACTGGCAGCACAGGCTTTCCCGCAGGCCAGGCTGCAGGGTGGGAGAGATTTGTCCTCTCTGTGGACAAAGGTGGCGGCTCCATCTCCTCCGATCAAGGAAGAGGAGGAAGTGAATTCTGGCTGAACAGTGCTGCAGCTCACACCCACGTTCTGCAGCACTGTGGTGATTCCTGACATCAGATCAGCGTAACTGGACAAATAAAAATACATGAAATATATATGAGGCATCAATAAATACATTTATGTTGAATTCTTATCAATGATAAGTTATATAAATGTAGTTTTTTTGTTTTGTTTTAATGGTGGTGCACAGCCTCTCTTCCCCATGCAAATAATTACCTGCGTGCCGACACCATGAAGGTGAAAATGCTGGGCTAATCCACTCAGATGATTTACAGATTGTTTAAACGCAGTTAAGGTCCACTTTGGCATTTTGTCCTCTTTGACTTGCAATAAACTTTGACCTCTGGTTACTAACTGCAGGTAAAAATACGAGAATACTGGAAAAACCGAACTATTCCTTTAAAATGTGATGCAGACTGGAAGGCAAAGACCCTGAAAACCAAAGTAGGGATTAAATCCCAAACATAATCTGGCATAGAGAAGTTAAATAGGCGCAATTGGTTTGTCGCCTTATGACTGACTGCATGTTAACTCATGATTCTGTCGGTGACTGGGGCATCTTGAGATGAGGAAGTTCTTTAAAGACTGTTGTTCAAAATAAGAAAATAAAAACACAACTTTCCTCTAAGCTCAACAGAAAGCCTTTTCATGATTTCCTGTTTTGCTTAAGGCTTTCTACTCTGATATTAAAACATACTGAGCCAAAAAAAAAAAAACAATCAGTGAAATATTAAATGTAGTCATAGACTGTTAACCAAGCAACCTAAAAACGACTAAAAACGTCTCTGGAAATGTTATTGTTGTGATTCCAACTTATATTTTCCAGCGCTTCAGCCCGTTCAAATCGCTTCAAACTCATGTCTGCAGAATGAGTTATTTGACTTCACCTGTTCGACAGAAACCCAGTGTGGCAGTGAACGTGGACAGAGGCCACTGTGAGCGACTCGGTCAGCTGCCAGACGTGGAGCTCGTGCACAGCCTGCACCCCGGGAACGCCGGCGAGCCTCCGGCTGACATCAGACACACGCATGTGTGGGGGAGAGGCCTGGAGAAGCAGCATGCCAAACCTGTACACCTGCAGGGATGCAATACGGACACACAAAAACCAAGCTACGTCATTTAGAGCAGGCCTCATTGAGTTAAAAAAAGGAGTAAAGCAGATAAAAATGATAAATATTCTGGGCACCTTATGGTTACCCAGTGATGTGTTACTGGGGAACCATTAGAAGATGGGGCCTGGATGGGTTATTGTGGGCTTTGCCTAGTTGGGGCCCAGATTTTCCCAACAAATTACCCGTTTGGGTTTATAAAATGGGGTCATGATGGAACCTGCGAACAATCCCACTTAAAACCCACTTTTATTGGGTACCCTCATTGTGCCTGATAATTTAAAAGATGGGTCCGGGATGGATTCTTGTGTACTTTTCCCAGTCGGGGCTCATATGGTGACCAGATTTTTCCAACATAAAACCTACATGGGTTTATAAAATGGGGCCATTATGGAACCTGCAGACAATCCTACATGGGGCCCATTTTCAAGCCCATATTGGCCCCACGTTAAAATGTTGGCGGGGTCTGTTCCTATAACTGTCTGAACGATTCGGGAACAACGTCTGAATGAGATGCAGATGATGAGCGTTGGCGCCACCTCTGAATTATAAATGTATCTCATGTAACTGTTTACATTAGTCGCTATCTCGTGAACAAGCTGATTAACGTGCGATTTTAATTTATCTTGTATACCGCAATTGCAAAATTTTGTTTTTTCGGCAAGGATTTGTGTTCCTTTGAGATGGAAACGCAACGATAGAGAAACAGGGCGTCTTCAGTCAGTGGCTTCTTCAGATTTGCTACAGGAGATCTTCCCTGACCAGCGCCGTCACTTCCTACAACGTCTCTTTAAGGAAATAAAAGCTGACAGAGTGACCTGCGGCACAGACGTTGCAATCAGCGTGATGACAGCCAGCATGGAGAGGCCCGGGTCCAGATAAACCAGGACGCTGCAGGCTCCAGAGCCGTGCAGGAGCTGTGGAACGACCAGCGTCACCAGGCTGTTGATCAGAGCCAGGAGGGATGTGAAGAGTCCCTGGATGACGAAGACGAAGGACAGGAGGCAGAGGGCCCAGCGGCAGCTCCATCCAGATGATGGCTTGTCCGCTGAAGAGGGTTCGTGTGTATTCTGACTGTCTGTGATTGGAGGAAACGGAAACAGATAAAACAAAACAAACAAAAAAAAGCATTTTGAGCATTTTGGATGAAAATGTCAATTATCGGTACTCTGTTACCAGGATGCTCAATGCACAGGCGGCGGTTCAGACTCTCTTCCTTTAAACGTGCAGCACTGTCCTCTCCGCTGGTGGTTTCCTGCAGCTGAAGCTCCGTTCTGCAGGCGTGGTGAGGCAGGTTGAGAGTTCCTGGATTACAGAGGACAAGAGCCCCGCTGTGGAGACAGCGGTGTGCTGCAGTTTGAACTTTGGACGGGTCAGAGAGCTGCTCTTCGTCCTGGCCTTGGGACTCCTCTGCAGCGCGGACGGTGGGAGAGGAGCAGAGGAATGGAAAACAAGGCCTTGTGGGTTATTAAATTCCAGCTGAACATACACATCGTTCTCTTAGAGGAGACTTTTAAATCAAATAATAATGCTTCTTTTATGTTTGCCTCGCAATTGTTTGATCTTTTTTTAAAACTGCTACTCCGAAGTACATGATTTCTAGCAAAAGCATTTACGACGTTTCAGGGTTCTTCCACACTTTGTCCAATTACAGCCACAAGATAAAATCTATTCAGACTGGGATTTTAAGAGACAGGCCCAGGAAGTGAAATTATTAGTTGATTAAAAACAGTGCAATCAACATACTTGAGGAACCACCTAAATGTAGTCAGAGTGTAGCGAAACTACACACCTTCCATCAAACGGTAGGACGGGCAACAGTGGCATCAGTCAGAGAAGCAGCCAAGAGGCCCGTGGTATCTCTGGAGGAGCTGCAGACACAATCCTCAGGTGGGATAATCTGTGAACTTTTCCGGCCTTCATGAAACAGTTGCAAAAACAAAGTTGATGTTGAACAAAGGTTAGCAGGAATCTGTTTTTGCAGTTCGCCGCCAGCCAGGTCAGGGAAACACGGGGAAGAAGGTGCTCCGGGTCAAATAATGGCAAAATCACAGGGGCAGTATCATGTAAAATCTACTTTTTACATGTCGAAGAGTAGGAGCTTCTTAAAGAGTCGGAGGCCCAATTTCATGGTGTTAAAATGCAAAATCAAAATTTTTTTTGTCATGTTTGATGCATTTTACCTCAACAGTTACCTCAACAGCATGTGCTATAAATAGGCACAACGTGCCTGTAAAATACGTAACGCTGCCCCTTTAAAGGTTATGACCTATGTGTGGTTCTGAATGATTTAGACACGATTATATATTCTTCTTAGATCCTCTTTAGATTTTGTGGCAAGACATGAAAATCGATGTTTTTGGAAAAACTCGATGCTGGAATGATCGCAGGAAAGTGGGCAAAAATATTGAATCAGAGGGATCAATACTCTGCATGTCATGATAATGGGATTCTTAATATGTTCAGTGTGTGATGAAAAAAACAAAAAACCCTTGTAAGTCAATGCATTAGTTTTGTGTCACTGTTGGAGAGGTGTCATGGTGTCTGTCACCTTTGCAGCTCATTTCAAGGCGAGGTTCGGTCTCCACCCGCCGCCTGCAGCTTCCTGCCTTCTTATCCAGCAGCTCATCCCAGTCCAGGACAAACAGCAGCATCTTATGGAGCAGACTCCCAGCCCCGATCAGCACCGGCAGCAGGGGGTGGTGAACTGGGTGGGGCTTCACCAGGAAACCCATGATCTCCAAGAAATAGGCGACGCACAGAGAGACCAGGAGGAGGTAGGAAACGAAAACACCCACAGCCCGCTTCCTGCTGTCGGGGAACGACAGGCCGCAGCTCGGAGCTGCTGGGGAAAAATGTTTCTGCGAGTCAATCGGTGCAGCCGGGTCTCGGTGGGGCGGCTCTGGAGTGGACTGAGCTCTGGGTGGAAGTTCAGCAGGTGGAGCGGAGTGTGAAGGAGGAGGAAGGGTCCCTGAGGAAGAGGAGGAGGCGAGCGGAGAAAATGGGGAGGGGTCCGAGGAGGGGGTGCAAGGATTGCCGAAGCCCTCAGTCCGGTGGAGAGCCATGTGGAAAAGGATGAAAAGTGTATGGAAGCCGTCCACCATGGTGATGAGAGACTTACACAGCTGACTGACGGCGATCTCACACAGCAGCAGCAGCACGGTCACCCCCATAATGCACCGCTGTCGCAGCCTCATACCTGACACTGGGAGACAAATTAAGAACAAAAAAAAAATAAAATGGCGTAAAGTGACAAAAACTCTCCCAATAATGACCACGGTGGTGGAAGCATCATGCTGTGGGGTTATTTTTCTTCAGTAGAAACTCATCAGAGTTGATGAGGGAATAAATGCAAGAGCATCCAAAAAAATCTTAGAGAAGAGACAAGAACCAGACCTTCCTACCCAACATCAGTGTCTGACCTCACAGACGCCGTTCTGGAGATCTCTCTCTTAAACCAAAACCTTCCCAAAAGATTTGAAAACTTTACCTACAAAGGGAGGACAGATCATATTAAATCCTCTGGATGATGAATAAGATGTCAATGAAGTTCATTCACTGAAGTCGACAATTATTGATAACCCAGGCACAAGTTTCTTCTGACAGGAAGTAGTGTTACAGTATTAATGTTTACATCAATGCTGTGGGCCAGCAGAGATCTCACAGCAGAGAATCTTATCAACTAAGATAAACTGACAACCCCCCACCCCCCAAAAAACAAACGACGACTTTGATTGCTGTAAGGACAATTCAGCAAATGCCTTTGGAAAAGCTCAGCATTTTTTCCATTAGAAATAAATGTTTCAGTTGAGTGAAAATCATTTGAACGGCTCTATTTTAATCACGCACTCCCTCCCTGACGGTATGATTCACACGCATGGATTATTGAGCTGATCATCTTGATGTGCATGGATAGCAGGAGATGCACGTTGCTTCAGAGTCGAAGGGAAGAAGGTTGAGATAAGCCTCCCACAGACATAGAAACAAAAAAACATTTTGAAGATTCAACACACACACAAAAAAGGAAAAATAAATAAATAAAATAAATGAAACATTCTTCCAAATGAGGAAATAAAAATTACACACACACACACATATATATATATATATATATATATATATATATATATATATATATATATATATATATAATATATATATATATATATATATATATATATATATATATATATATATACACTCCTGATTTTAGGTAACCAACTAACCAGAGTTCTATGCAGAACTTTTTTTTTTCATTTTAAAGTAAATTTAAAATGTATTTACCCCGAAGAAGCAGACGAGGGAAAGACAAGCTTAACTCCTGGATAGAGTCTGTGTGTGGATGTTGCTCCCTCTTCGGTGTACCGTCCTCCTCTTCCTCCTCCTCTTCCTCCTCCTCTCTTCCCGGCTCTAATCGCAGTCATGTGAGCGGCAGAGGAAGGTGGGTCGTCCCTGTTCGCGTTTTGGAGGGACACAGTGCGGCCCCACCACCGACACACGCAGTCCGGCCCACGCTGCGTGCACAACTGTTTGCGCTCAAAATCCACGTTGAGCCGTCAAGGCGAGGGACTCGAACCGGGTCACGTCAGGAACCGCATCATGGAGAAACATGAAAAAAAAAAAAAAAAAAAAAACCGAAAGATATCAAGTAAAAAAAAAAAGAAAAAAAAAGGGAAAGTTAGAAGAAAAGATAAATTGTGGACTTTTCCCAACATTTAATTGACCTTTTATCCACTCACAACTTGGGGAAAAATAAAAAATAATAAAAAAAAGAAGCAAAGCTTAGCAGGAAAATGTAACAATATTTAAGAGAATATGATACTCCTATGGTGTCATAAGAAACAACAACAATATTCCCATGGGGCAAAACTTTATTGAAATACAGAAAACAACATTTTACACAGATAAAAAAAAACATTTTTGCCCTTAACAGATTTCTTCTGGTTTTACTTTGTGATTGCACAGAAATTTTTCAGACAGCCAAGCAAAAGATTAAGATAAGTTAAAGATGATCTGAGAAAACACAAAAGTTTTCAAATGATTAATTTATTTCTTGTTAAAACATAAATTGGCTGTAATTCCAAAATTACAGCCAAAAAAATATGTACATTCCACAGAAATATATTTCCAAATCCGTTTGGAAATATATTACAAGCTTCCTCCAGGCTTGACTTCTGCAATCAGGAAATCATTTAAGAAGAAACCATTTGACAACATGAAGTAGACCAACAGTGTCCTAGTCAAAGTATAGGTCTAAATCTGATTGGGATAATTTGGTGTGACTGATTAAAACAATCCAGTAGAGAAAATGGGCTGAAACACCTCAACTCACACATTTTGTTTTCACGTTGGTTACAAGAAAGCAAAACGTGAAGAATCTCGGACAAATGGTTTTATAATTAAAACGTAACTGTGCAAATGAACACTTCACTTCTGCAGCTCTCTCAGTATATCTGAAAACGACTGACCCGTTCCTTCCTCGATCGGTCGCTGGTCCCGCTTGTTTCAGTCCACTTGGTTGTGGATCAACAGGACGGATACGGGCTGACACTACAGATAAATCCCTGCCATCCCACCGGCATGCCAGCACATTCCTGAGGCACGGCCAACCCCAAAGAAAGCCCAGGCGAGAGAGCGTTTGATGGTCACCGAACCCAAACTGCAGCCTTTGTCGTCTCAGGAGGCACAGTTGAGGTCAGACCTTTGGCTCGGGGGGGAAAACACTGTTTTTGCTGATATTTGTTTTGCTTTGGTCACCGTCTGGGTGCTGAAATCTCATCACTGCTCCGATTTAAATTTAGATTAGAATCACCAAATTTGAAGTGGTCACTTTAAGTTGATGGCTCTCTTTTAAAGATGGGGAAACATCTGACTGGTTTATGTAACTGGTTGTGATACTGTGGAAATGATGGGACATGTTTTGATGGCGGTTTTTTCAAATGAGCGATATGGCTCTCCACCCAGGGCTATTTGACCTGGGGTTGTGTTTACGTCCTCAATTAGAAAAGAAGTGTAAAAAAAAAAAAGCTATGAGGTTTTTTGATTAGTGAAACCTCCATTCTTTATGTGGAAATTTCATCATATAATGGGGAATGCAGCAGTGTGTCCCATCAATTTACCTGGAAGAGATCAAACATCTGACAAACATTTCATTCATTCCTCCTCTGGCTCTCAGTTTCTCATCAACGTGGACCAATGAGAAGCTTTAGGAACTTCTCTGCTCGCATAACTCCAAAAACAGCAGCCGAACATGAGGAAATATTTCACCTCAAGCGTTGTTTTGAAACCACTCTCAGAGTCACAAGAAAACACAAGACAAACACAACTGATAAATAAATGCCAGAAAAAAAAAAAAAAAAATCAATCAACCATTGTTTTCTGCTTTAACGCCACCTTTCTACAGATAATTAGATCATGGCATTTTTATTTTCGTTTTAGTTGCATTCAGTTAGCTACATGTAACCCTTTTGCAGTTATTTTTGCATAACACCAAAACTACTTCATTTTTATGTTTTCTTCTTACTTTCAGCAGCTAAAGAGGCATTTGCCAATTCGTTCATTGAACTAATCCGTCCTGAAGTAATACCAAAGTCAGCAGCAGTTTCTCTTAAAAACAACTCACTAAACACTAAAATAAACCAGCTTCCTGGCAACATGTCAGTCAACTCTAATGTAAGCTTTCTCTAATGATATTGTAAATCTTTTCGTTTTTCTCACCACTCTCTCCCTGTCGGATCAGAACTGGATTGTGTGGATTAGTGTGCTCTGGCATTCCCTGAGGAATCCTGAGCCGGCGCTCCACAGCCTGACCCTCAGATTGCCTCCGCGTTTCCCTCGTGACGAGGGGCCAAACAGATTCTCTCCAGGGCTAAAGACTCTTTTTTTTTTGCACTTTCTGTGAATCTGCTCGGTGGGCACAAAGAGGCACATCCATACGATGTTCAGTCAGAGGGATATTTTCAACTTGCTTTCCTCTCACGGGACTGATGAGATGATCCCGGATCCCACTGGAAAGTGAGCAAAATGCCAAAGACAAGTATCAATTGGGAGTCGGGGCTTTAGCTCCAGGTGTGTTGAGGAGGATGAACTGCTGAAGAGTCAGTGACTCAATAAAGCTGCTAAGAGAGAAATGTTTCATCAGCTGGTGTGAGAAACTGAACTTTAACACATTTGTGTTTGTCTGCATTGAGCCGACCTCATACTGGATCATTGTGTAGGATCTCTTTTATAAAGAGGCTTTAGACGTTTGTTGTGAACTGAACTATTATTGATCATGATGGCTGTTTGCTGGGATTTTGACCCATGCCCCTTTACAGAACCGCTGTACCTGAATCAGGTTTGTAGGTAAACTCACAGATCATTTTTAGCTTTGCTCATAAATTTTCGGTGACACCGAGATCCACGTGTCGAGTCATCGTCCGGAAGGCCCATTTCAACTCGAGTTTCAACTTCAAGGCCAACTTAAAATGTTTCATCTCTTCATAACGACCTTCCTTCATCATGTAATCGTTCTTGGAAAGTGTACCAATCCCTCCCAAAGGAAAACACCCAAACATGCTGCTGCCCCCCATACTTAACATTTGGCATGGTGTTTTGTAGGATCCAAGCCTTTTTCAAATATAACACTGGTAGCTGTTGCCAAACCCTTAGATATTCGCTTCATCAGACCACCTCAAGTATTTGTCCCAGAGAATCTGTCTTTTCCAAGATGTCTTATTTTTTTTTAGTATTTTTATTCTCAATGTGGATAAAGAAACCCATCAGCTCCAGTCAACATTTTTTCAAGGTCTTCTTTTGGGTTGATGCGTTCATCTCTGGGACAGAGAACTTGTCTTGTTCGAGTCTGACGTGCTCAAGATTCCCATCCCGGTCACACTTGCAAATAGAGGAGTTGACGCCTTTAGGCAGACGGACCAAGGATGAACTACAAAAACAGAACCGACTCGGAAGAACTTCAGGTTTCATGACTTCCCGCTTTAACCTGTTAACATTCGGCTTTCTCATGGGACAAATCCCAAAACCTCAGACTAACTAATTCACCACAGAGTCGTTTCATTAATCATTACATGCATTTATTTGAGAGAAACAAATTTCGCCATACATATCTTTGTGATTACCAGCACATTTCAATTAAGTTAACAAATCATTATTAAAAATTTCTAAAAATTAAAGCATTACAAACAGTGTGGGTGGCAGGGTGCGGGGGAAAACTACCATTTGGGTGGAGAATCGTTGTGGCATCGATCGCTGTTTCCATGGAGGAGGAAAGAAAAACACAGCCTGCCTGTTTCTGCGTCAGGGGAACAAAAAGCAAAATGTGAAGGCAGAGAGAACTGGACCTCTTCACAGAAACATCGAATGGATGTTTTAATGTTTAAGACTTTTTTTCTTGATCTAAGAATATTTAGCTGCTGAGCTCATAATTCTTCTTAAAGTCCGAATGAAAGAAAACAAAAAAAGCCATCAACGCCCCCTTGTGGCCAATGATTCGCTCTGCAGGGCTGCTGCAGGACAGGAACCTCGACATGTTTACAGCTTTCTGCACCCCAGTAGTCAACCATTCAATTAAACCCACCATTTACTCCTATAATAGATTATCCCGTCCTGAAAAACGTCCTTTAGTCTAAATATTTTCTCTAGTTTGCATATGAAATATACATCAAAACGGGCGTCGGCTTTAAAAGCGACCCCTGGGATAAAACAAGCAGATTGAGAGATGGAAACATTTTAAACCGAAGAGATGTCCAAAAATACAAAAATAAGTCATTTCTCAAAGCTGAATATGGGTGAGAGTTATGAGTAAAAACTGAGGGAAACAGAAGAAGGTGCGAGGAGTTCAGAGCTGAATAAACTCTGGGGGAATAAAAACAAAAACAAAAGAAAAACATCTAATCTGACTTCTCTTTAAATTGACATAAACTCTGAGTCATGATTTGTGCAATTCTGTAATTTGGGGATTCAATTCCTTTATGCCAAACATAAAACGGAGGTTTCCAATCGTGCAAAACGTGTTTTAATGTTCGGGTCTGGACAGCAAGTAAGAGGACGCGGATTCCTGAGGGGCCAAACAGAGCAGAAGACGAGAAACCACAGGGGAAAAAAAGTCACTTTGGCAGAGGTCCCTTAGAGTTTTATTTCTGGTGGGGAGCAAGAGAGAAAGAGCGAGGAGACCAGCAGACACACACAATGTTTACAGCTACACAGATGGATAAACATCCTCAGGTTTCTTGGATACAAAAGCCTTTAACAGCAACTTACTCCCAACCTCGAGTGTTTTGAAGCCAGCAGGTCTGCTCAGCAGGGGGCCACTGTGTTTCTTGTCGTCAGCTTCACGTCGAGTCATAAAAAAACTG